GTTTGATGTTACGTACATTATTAACATTACAGAATCCACATATTCCTGCCAGTTTTAATATCTATTTTGTAATCAACAAGTGTGTAACCCCGGTCAAAGTTTGACACTTCTCTGGCCATTATCTCCGTAACCGTTCAACTTTGGACATAGGTGTTTTGGGTTATATCGGCATACTTTAACATAAGGAACACCCTCCCGAAGTTTGGCACATTCCTCCTGGGACACTCTGTATATATATATATATATATATATATTGTCACATGATGGAGTGACTCCCTGATACAGCACATGACTATACTTTACAATTCACTATTACACATACACACATACACTAGTGTCCACAGTTACATTTTCGCTGGTCGTTGCTCAGTAACAGCAGACATTCCCCTTGCTCTGGGTCCCGGAACTGTCCCTGGCTTCAGCTACAGCAGCTCTCGACTAAATGACTCAATCACCAACCAACTACTCTTCACTTCACTCAACTAACTGCAGCTCCCAACTTGTCCCACTTATAACATCTCAGCACAGACTGTGCAGGAAACACCATTCATTCCTTATTGTTGTGATTCAATTCTTGCCATGGGAACATGTTTGTCTGTGAAGCTGTTGTCCAGCAACAGGTCTACATGCCACAATATATATCTTATCCTTGTGCATGGGTTCTTTTCTTGAAATTTTTACTGGTTGTTCTATACTGTAATCAGTTCAAACCAAATTAAACAGAAAATGTCATTTTAATAAAATAATGTGAGATTCCTTTTGTGGCTTACAATTTATGAGCCTTATACACATTTTTTTATTGCTAGTGGGGTGGGACTAAGTCCCTTGTACTGCAGCAACTTCTGGCCTATTGTACCAGCCCCAGATGATAGGTGAGGGTAACTGTGGAGCAATTGGTGGAACGAAGATTGGCAGGGGAAACCGAAGTACTCAGAGAAAACCTGCCCCAGCGCCACTTTGTCCACCACAAATCCCACTTGACTAGACCCAGGATAGAACCCAGGCCGCCGCGGTGGAAAGCCAGCAACTAACCACTGGAGCTATGGCGTGGCCTAGCGTTATACATAACATTTAAAGCCATGAATCATCCTTTCAGGTGACCAATACAGTTACTGCCAAACCCATCACCTAATGGACTGAATTTTGCTACATGCCATTGCAAATCCCATCGAGTGATAGGCATAAATGTGTGCATAAAAAATAATTTTCTCTTACATATGTCACTCAAGAAGAGAAATTTGAAACACAGCTTGCCAGAACTCAATCAAGCTGAAATATTCATCAAATATTGATTATTTTTCACTTTTTCTCTTCCATTTCAAATATTGTGAGTTCAAAATCCAGATGATACATTTTCTTCTACCAGGCTTTGATCATATTAAGAAAAGCACTTTGTGAAGCCAGGTCACTTGTTAATGCCAGGTTCCTATGTAAAGATGAACTGATGAAAACAAATATAAAGACACTGAAGGTTACTTACATTTTAAAATGTATTGGTATCCTCTTTACATTTATATTTAGCTAGATATGACATCACAGTAGCTGTATAAGCTACAAATTTATGATAATCGGATTTAATTTATCTTGTGATGTACATAATTATCCTATTGCACTATGGTTGATAATTGTTATTCTCTGTTTTCAGGCTTTCTTGTACAGTTTATGGTATTTCATATTCTCCATCCTTGGAAACTTCAATAACTTCTTCTTTGCAGCCCATTTGCTCGATGTTGCTGTAGGTTTCAAGACATTGCGCACTATTCTGCAGTCAGTAACACATAACGGGAAACAGGTAACCCTGATGACTGATTTTGGACTTCTGTGATCAGTGTTAAATATGTAGTATTAGCTTCCAGGCTTCAACTTCTACTTCCACCTTTATGTTTAGCATGTGTGTGTGTGTGTGTGTGTGTGTGTGTNTCCACCACAAATCCCACTGGAGCAGACCCAGGATCGAACCAGGGCCGCCGCGGTGGGAAGCCAGCGACTAACCGCTTGAGCTGTGGCGCGGCCCTTTAGCATGTGTTACTTATGTGCTGTCAGAGATAATAGATTATTATATTAACATCTATATAATGAAGCAAGATAAAACCTTAACAACTGTGAAAGTGAAGAAAGAACTCCATTTACAGGCAGGTGCCAATTAGTGGTATACAGCTTGAGATTATATAGTTGCCAAAACTCTCCCTTAACCTAATGACTGGATATCAAGCCTTGTGTTTTTGGCCACTTAATCCTCTTTTAAGAGCACCTGCTATTATACATCAAATTGACATGATAAGTTTCTATAGTCTCACATGTGTAATGTTGGAAAATGTCAATATACTTTGTCCTGTTATGAAATTCGATTCAATTTTATTTCATCCATGAATATGGGATATATATATATACATGATATGGGACAAGTCAAAGATTAATATTAATACTAATACTAAATAGTAATAAGAATAGAATAATACAGAAATAGTATGCCAAATTATAATAAATAATAATAATAATAATAATAATATAGTAATACAGAGATAATAATATGACAGTATAATTAGTCTTGAAAACGGTTTCTGTGGTCTTAAATCCTCCATATGTCCTATTGTACCTTTACTGGTGGTAATGCCTATGGAGATTTGATGGAATGAGGATTACATGGTAGCTTATCAGCCCCTTGGTTGTTACTGTACAACACAATTGACTCCTTTCCTCCAAACCATCTAAGAAACCTTTAATGCAGGTAGTCTCTTAGGCAGCCTTGGCTAATGGTATGTATTCAGTCTCTGTACAAGACACTACCACTTCAAACTGATTTTTCAGTTCCCAAGAAAAAACAACTCACTATTTTACCAGTGTAGCATAAGATGACCTGTGGTCTACCTCATTTGCCCAATCTACATCTACATATCATACAGTGTTCTCTCTGTTCTTTTAAAAATTGTAGAGTAATTTATGATTCATTTTACATATTTTAGTACTCTCTTTGCAGCTTTCCAGTGTTTCTCATGGTTAGTATTAAAACTCCCAACTCACTTGTCACACCAGCAACATCTGGCTAGTACACACTGCTAGGTACATCAGATATCCTTCCAAACCTTGATAAGGTGTATCATATTACACTGTTTCTCTCTCCCATTCTCTGATTGACAACTAGTGGGGTTGCCATGGGTTTTATATAAAACATGCCAGATTGTTGCAGTGTTGTACGTGGGTTCAAACCCGGCGGAGGTGCTGGAATTTTTAAGGGCAGAAAAATTTAGGGAACAAGTCATCCTGGAGGGACTTTAAGCCATGGGTCCCATGTCATAGATTTATGGCACGTAAAAGATCCTCATGTCTCTAGGAGACCTCTGAGCAAAACTAGGCAAAAGTTTCCCACCCAAGTAGTTTCCAATGCCTCCGGTAGATGGGGAAGTTATCAGGTACCACTGCCAGAAGACGGCCGACCTCGCTGGCAGAAAGGGGCTGATAGCGAGCACCAGTACTGGTAGAGTATGGCGACAGTAGAAATTAAAGGGGGACATACAGTAGACTACTAGTCACGGTGCATGGGGAAACCCACCCCCTCTAATACTGAATAACTGAACTGACTGATTGTTGCAGTGTTTCCTCTGTGTGTTTCTGTTGGCTCATACAAATAACTTTATTTTTCCTGTCTGAATTCTCATCAAATTCTTCTTGACTTTCTCTTTCTCCTTTTTATTGTTCAAGAATATTAGAAAATAGTCCACACACATACCAACAGTGATATTGCTGTCTTTATCAGTCTTGTAATAAACACATCACTCATGATCTGGCCTTGATCAACACTGTGTATCTTCATGTTCCATGCACTTGACAGTTGTTTGAGTCTGTAGATTCCTTTCTTCAGGAAACAGGCACTGTTTTCTTGTCCTCTTGACATTTGATCCATAGAGTACCCTCTTCTTCTAAATTTCCACATAGAAAAGCCATGGTGACATCCAAGTGATCTGTGTTCAAATCAAGTTATGCAAACCAGGCCCAGCAGCAATCACAATGAAGGATATCATATTACAGGTCAAAAGTTTTTTCTGTAGTCCTAGCCATACCATGGAATAAAGTGTTTGCTGCTATTAATGCTTGATAATTCTGAAACACACCTTTCACATGCCTATCTCTCCTCAGAATCTTCTCTTATTTCCTGTCTGATTGTCCACAGATATCTTGTAGGAAGCAGAATGTTTCTCTGAAACATTTGTAACCATCTTCCAGATCACATGATGTCAATCCAGGAGACCACAATTTAAATTTCATACCTTATTTGTGTTTCTTTTTTCAGCTTGTGCTAACGGTAATGCTGCTGACAATAATTGTGTACATATACACTGTTATTGCCTTCAACTTCTTCAGAAAGTTTTATGTGCAAGAGGAAGATGAAGAGGTGGATAAGAAATGTCATGACATGTTAACTGTAAGTTCTGTTCCATTTTATTGCAGAATTTATTGTTTCTGAAGATGTATCTCTTTTATGAATGTACATATTTCTACATGGTTTAGTTTTCCATTTCCCAATAATTTAACCTGAAATATGAGAGATTACTGCAAGATGTCGTTCTCAGAGATTCGGGAATTAAGTATACCAGGTGCAACAAAAAAATATAAAAAGGATAAAATGAAATAGCTCTACAGATCTCGATGAAAATCATGTAAGTACTATAGAAAATAAGTACACAGTGTGTCCAGGTTCTGTTAGGACTGTGTTCATTAAAAATACAAGACGTGAATTATTTTCAAAATTTTGCTCTTTTTATTCAAAATAGTCTCCTTCTGAATCAATACATAGCTGGAATCAATTGAAAAGTTTTCAAAATCGGTCACTGTACTCCTTTTGTAGAATCACATATAAAACTGTGGTACATTCCCTTTGGATGTCCTGCATTGTGTCGTGACGGTCTCCTTTCATCACCACCTTAACTCTTGGGAACAACCAGAAATCTGCTGGAGCCAAATCTGGCGAATACGGAGGATGATCAAGGACTGTGATCCCGTTTCTGGCCAAGAAAACATGCACAATCTTCGACTTGTGGGGTGGGGCATTTTCGTGAATGAGCGACCAGGAACCTTGCTTTTGATATTAAAGTCGAATTTGAAGAATTATCGCCCACAAACGATGGAGGACTCTGAGATAATAATCAGAATTCACTGTTTGACCTTCTGGCAGAAATTCCTTGTGAATGATTCCTTTGGAATCAAAGAAAATGGTTAGCAGTGTCTTTACTCGACTCTTTTGCTTCCACAGTTTCTTTGGTTTCGGCTTCTTTGGACTCAACCACGCTGCACACTGCTGCTTTGTGAGAGGCTCATATTGAAAACACCGTGTCTTGTCACCAGTAACAATCAATTTTGTAAATTTTGTATCACTTTGGGCCAACCGTAACATGTTTTTGCAACGTTCCACTCTGGCATGTTTTTCATCACCTGACAGCGTGTGCAGTACAAACCATTCACAGACCTTCCATTTCCCTAAATACTTGGTCAAAATTTGATGCACAGTACTTTTTGGTATTCCCAAAAGTCCTCGAGTCTTGCAGAAACACATCTGTCTGATGCAAAGATTTCGGTCACTTTTTTCACATTTTCTTCAGTACAACTTGTTCTCGGCTTTGATGCACATGGAGCGTCTTCGGTGTCCTCCCTGCCATTACGAAATACAGCATACCATCGAAAAATGTTCAAGCAAGCGACTCAATCACTACCGTACGCACTTTTCATCATTTTGTACACTTCTCCAGCTGTTTTGCCTAACTTCAAACAAAATTTGATGTTGGCTCTCTGTTCATCCGCCATTTTCCAATGAGCATCAGAACAGTACTGTTACATTCAAGGTCAGAACACATGATGCAGCAATGCTTGTGCTTTGAAATTATAGACGGCCACAGCTGAAACTTCAAGAATCTTAATGCCACAACTCGGCAACAGATGACATTGCAGGGCAAAATTTAAAAAATGAGTCCTAATGGATTCTGGACACACCATGTATGTATACAGAAAGATTTACTCAGTCTGGTTGAATCACTGCGCAAACAAATTTTTATTCTTCAAATGTTAAAAGCTATTTTAAATTTGATCATATCATAATATGCAGTATATATAGAAGGAATACAGTAGTGTGTAAATAGATACAGTGTGATATGTTCACATTCTTATGAAACTGTATTTGTTTCAGTGCTTTGTATTCCATTTATACAAAGGAGTACGTGCTGGTGGAGGCATTGGTGATGAAATTGAACCTCCAGATGGTGATGACTATGAAGTATATCGTATTCTCTTTGATATCACTTTCTTCTTCTTTGTCATTGTCATTCTGCTTGCTATTATTCAAGGTAAGAAATTAAATTAAGTAGATGATTTTTTAGACTCCCCGCAAGAATTGAAGTCACAGCATCTTAGAGTCTATTAACTAGCCAACAGAGGACATAACATTTAGAAATTCATAGAAGCAGTTCATGTATTTACCTGTATCTATATCTCTTCATGCATAATGTTTTCCCATATAATAAAATAATTGAATTCTCAAATATAAATGCTGGGGGATCATTATCTGCACAATTTCCATTACCATAATTCAACATGAAAGGACCAAGGGTTGGAAATCCGTAATGATTACTGTCACTGTCTCAGTAAATATCCCTCTTTCTTCATGAAAGACAAATTACATCAATAATAATTTCCCTGTGCCCAGGGTTACATGGGAGTACTCCCTCTTCATGTTCGAGAGGACATGGATTAAAATTCTTCTGACTTAGGTTTCCCTTAGTTCCTCCAGAAAATGCTAAGGTAGACCATGACAGCTTTCTTCCAATTCATGTTTCACTACTGTTCAGTGCTACACAATTTGTACAGTTGATAAAGTACTAAAATGAATTAGAGTAATGTTAAAATTACTGCATAAAGTTCCAGAATCAATCAAATCATTTCTCCATATCTAATGTATTTGCCATTTTTATTGCTACACATAACTTATCCCTGGTCCATGTCCTAAGTACAGGGTCACTGAAACATTTCACTATCTCTACCTAGGGCCACCTGGTTGATAAAACATCTTCATTGCCTCTTTTCACTGACAACATGGTTGCTCCTTATTGGTTAGCATCGTACCCCTGTACATCAAGTCACAACTTAACCTCCAACACACTGCCTAATGTAAGATCCATGTAGGAGCTGCCAAAATTCCTTCCAGAGTCATTAACCTTGAACGTGGAAACTGCAAGATATGCTGAAATTTGGATAACCCTCAGCATTTCATGCAGCCTTTCCCAAAAACCAAAGCCATACACTTATATATGGAAAGCCAAAGCCACACATTGCACTGTGTTTGTGCATGCATGTACATGTATAAACAAAAATGATTCTTTAAGCAGACAATTGTGTATGTATATATACAGAGCACAGTAATTCTTCACTACTATTTCCATCCTGTTCAAAACATCCACATGATATACTGTAGCACCAGCTGAAACTCACCAGTAGAGTCAATGTTTTTCTTAATAACAAATGAGTAGTAACCATTAGTTCTCCACATATTGCAGTGTTGCATACTTTATAAATTACAATAACCTTCATATTATCATGTACATTTTTTGTATGAAATGCTTCTACAATTTCAGATCCAAAATGTTATTCCAACTTCTTCCTAATACATCATATCCCCTCTCACTTTCTTCATCTAATGCAGTGGTTCTTATAATATGGTCCAGTGACTGGGAAAGTTTCTTCCAAGTATTCAGAAAAGAATACTGTCTAATGGCAAAGTACAATACAATGCCTTTGCTATCACAATAAATACGTAGTTAACTTCATATGTTGCTTTATTATTCTGGGTAGCAGTTACACAACTCTGCTGCTGCAGCCAGAGGTTTGATGATTATCACAAGTCTGAAATGTTATTATTCAGTGTTGACCATGCTTTCCAGCTCTGATCATGTTTGTGTCACATTATGTGGCTCCTGTGGCTACTGTACCTAGCTGATATTTTTACAAAGAAAAATTGACTCAATTTTTTTATTCCAAGGTACAACTGTCACAGTTATTTAGTATATAAGATATCTGAGTAATTCTTATGCATAATGGAGCTTTGGATGATGTGTATTTAGAGAGATTGTTTTACAGTGTTGAATGCTTTTCTGAATGAACTTGAAAGCCAGATAAATGGTGAACATCCTCACAGACATAATGAAACATTTATGAGACCTACAATTTGCAGTGAAAAAGCATTTTCCACTTGTTGAACAAGGTTTTCAATTATTTTGAAACCTGTTCCCTCTCCCAGAGCAAGGATTTTTAACAAATAATATGAGGAAGTAAATGAAATTTCTAGAGACATGGGTTTGAAAGACACATATGCAAATGTCCTTCTGATTAACTTCTGGACTATCTAAAAGAAAAGTGTCCATACATGGTCAAGTAAAGTCATGATGAATTTACTTCTGTTTCCATTTATATATCTGTGTGAAACAGCGTTCTCTAGATATGCAGCAATAAAAATGAAATACCAGAACAAGCTTAATCCAGAACACAGCATAATGATACAGATTCAAAGTTTTAGCCAAGTTCAAGCCCCCTGGCACCAGCAAGCATCACATCAGGTTAATACAGCATAAGCTCTTTCCTAAAATATGGAGTATGTTTTATTAAACTTTCTGCATAAATGGTTGTAAATTAAAAATAAGTTTATATTTTTAGGGTTCTGCGAAAATATTATAATACAAATTGATTCCATTTCAATAAAAGATTTTAGAACCACTTGTCTAATGATATTTTGGGCCTTCAAGGTGGTTCTCCATTCTTCTTCTTCTTTTCCAGTGTTCAGCCTTTATCTGTGCTGTGGCAGAAAGCAAACACGTTCCACAATAATGTAATTTTTCAGTTTGTGTATATGTTGGTTGTTGACTGTTTCAGGTTTGATAATTGATGCTTTTGGTGAGCTGAGAGATCAGTTGGATAGTGTGAAAGAAAATATGGAATCCAACTGCTTTATCTGTGGCATTGGCAAAGACTACTTTGACACAGTACCACATGGTTTTGATACACATGTCGCAAAGGAGCACAATCTAGCCAATTATATGTGAGTACAATTCACAGTACCTCAAACTATTATTATTATTATTATTAGAGGGGGTGGGTTTCCTCATGCACTTAGACCAGTTATTGGTCCATTGTCCGTCCCCCTTTAATTTCTACTGTCGCCATACCCTACTGGTACTGGTGCGTGCTATCAGCCCCATTCGGCCAACAAGGTCAGCCGTCGGTACCTGATATTTCCCCCATCTAACAGAGGCATTGGAAACTATTTGGGCGGGAAATTGTTGCCTAATTTTGCTCAGAGGTCTCCTAGAGACATGAGGATGTTTTACGTGCCGTAAATCTACGACACGGGACCCACAGCTTAAAGTCCCTCCTGGAGGACTTGTTCCCTGAATTTTTCTGCCCTTAAAAATTCCACAACCTCCGCCGGGTTTGAACCCGCGTACCTTGAGTCATGAGGTGGGAACGTTACCCCTAGACTACGGAGGCTGCTTACCTCAAACTAGGTATGTGCTCATATAAATCTTCAGTATAGTGGGCCATTGCTAATATGCTCTTCATTTGGTTGCTTTCACTCATTCTACTATATCTTGAAGGGGGGCACGCGGTAGTGAGTTGGTTGAGGCACTATGCTACAAACTGGAAGGTCACGGGTTCAAGTCCCAATGAGGTCATTGGATTTTTTTCAATGGCCCTGGGGTCAACTCAGCCTCTAGCAGAAATGAGTACCAGGAATATTCTTGGAATATTCTTGCGGGTAAAGGGTTCTCACAACGTAGGGCTGACAACCTTGTCACCATCTGTGAGCCGATTGTCTAGAAAATGTGGGAACTTCAACATCTCACAACCCTATGGGCCTCCATGGCCTGTTACAAGGATAGCTTTACTTACTTACTTTTACTCTATCTTGACTCAATTAAAATTTTAGAAGTCAGTGAATAATTCTGCATTATATCTAGAATTTTTCCAGTTAAATTTTTCTTCATATTATCCTCCCCTGTATCACTGTATCTGCACAGTTTGAAAGACTTGGGAGCATGTTGGTCTGTAGGTAAGGTGCTGCCTTGAGTACAAAATGATTTGGGTTTGAGACAGCCAGTTGCAATGCAAATTTTATTACATGTCCTCTCTTTCCTTCATAACTTTGTGCATGTACATGGAAGACCAGACCCCTACTTTGATTTGGAAACTTTATTCAGCTGTAGGAGCATTTAAGGTTCTCATGCCAGTGATGTGAGAGTAGTGTCTTGTTAGTTGCAATGCCATATAGTCTGGTAGAACATATATATATATAGAACTTATGTTAAGCCATCACCACAACAAATGTATACTTCCTTTTAGTATTTACAGTTAAATCTTTATTTTGCCAGATAGCAGATAAAGGTTTAATTTTAAACATTAAAATAAAGTATACATTTGTTGTGGTGACGGTTTAACATAACGACTATATATATATATATATATATATACACTACCACAGTAAATAAGTTCGTGGAATGGCCACAAAGCATCGTTGCAGTGCACTACAGCAGATAGGTTGAGGCACGATATGATGCCCTGTTGGTTCATCTCTCATCACAGCAAGAGGCAGTTGTGTGCAGACAGTGTAAGTAGAACTACGACCTCTATTGTGAACTGCAGTTAAATGCAAGTGGTGGAAATCGAAAGTATGGCAGTTTGAACAATGGGCAAACATCAAGCTCTGCCAAAAACTAGGCAAATCCCCTAGAGAAACATTTGGCATAGGAAGAATTGGCTGTTGCTACATGACAGCGCCCCTGCACATCGCTCTGTTCTTGTCCAAGAGGAACTGACAAGGCAACAGGTCACCGTTTTGCCACACCCTCCGTACTCACCTGATCTCACACCATGTGATTTCTTTCTCTTTCACCGCTTGAAAGCAAAACTACATAGTCATAGATTTCAGTCGTCCGAGGAGGTGGTCATTGCCACAAGAGATGCCGTATGGAAATTTCCTGCCAATATGTTTCAGCACTGTTTTCAGCAGCTATACCAACGTTGGCAGACTTGCATAGCAGCCAACGGCAACTATCTTGAGGGCCAATGTGGATCTGCAGAAGTGTATGTGAATAACTTGTAATATGATGTGATAAAACCACATTCCACGAACTTAATGACTCTGCCATGTGTATGTTCAGAACACACAACAGGATGCACACTATGAAGAGTCTGGTAGAAGTTCACTGACATTTCAGAGAAACATATGCCCTCCATCTCCAGGGTTGAACAGTAGCCAAGCAGGCAGTAATTTGAGTTATTCTGGAGCCAGTATATTCCAAGAGAATGACTGCTACTCATATATATACCAGACTCTGGTATCCTAAGAGACCATACTCTTCTGTAGGAACATGTTTGAAAGATGTGGTATAGAAGGAGTTTGATTGATTTACAGAAACTGTCATGTATGACAAAGCACATGAAGACACTTGGTTTGATTTAGTTTGCTTTTGTCTCACACTGTCATGGATACTCCAGCACTGCACATATTTAGCCCAGTATTCCTGAATGAAAAACACTAGTCTGCTAAGTTACAATATGCTTCCAGTGGCTTTGTATAGTGCAGTATCATTTTAAAACATCTGTTGTCGAATTCATGGTGTATGTATAATATATAAGTACAGTGAATAATGTGTGTATATTTTTATTATTATTGTAAACAGTAGTGGATGTTCACTGGAAATGTGTGATTGTTCACACCAAGAAATGGGAACTAATAGGATAACATAATTCATTGTTTTGTCAGAATTTTCTGTGAAGTTGCTTATCTCATTGGGAAGAGCAAAGAAGGTGGCATCAATAAAGAGAATCTGAAAAGAGCACAGACTTTGACCTCTTGATGTACTGTTTATCCTGAGGGAAGGTGGGAGAAGAGATGTGAAATTCAAACTTATGTTGTTGACTTCAGCCAGTGTGACACAAGATTTATTCATGATGGGCCAACATGAAAGAACCTTCTTTAAATTTTGAGAAATGAGGTAAAATTTTTACTGGAGTCACTGATCTGTAAAAGGAAAACTAGAAGATGCAGATTTCAATGAAAGAAATATAGTACCAAAAACCAGTTTCTAATACATTTACCAGGCACTATGAGTTGAAGATACAGTTTCTTGCAGCAAATGAAGAAGTTGCAATAAGAAGCTAGAGAAATAGTCTAACTAGGTGAAACATGGATGATACAAAATTCACAGTTAGTACATGTTGACATGCCAGTGAGAATATTGAAATCCTGACATCACTGAATGTGTCAGATGTGTTTGTTTTAGTGCACAGCATTTCTGCAGATGTTCCTTTGGGGGGGGGGTGATAGTACTACCTTATATTCAAAGAAGATACTATAAGAGGTGAACATTATGGACACATGACTTTAGGTGACTGAGAAATAGATGGAAGAAAAAGTTATTCTGAATTGACTACCAAGATCTCTTCTCATTGTGGACAGTGTGCTTATCATGCTGGACAAGTGGACAAATGAACATCTATATCAGCATTTAAAAGAGACCTAACCAGTTGGTTGAAGAAGCATAGACAAATCTGAGACAATTCAATTATTACAGCCATCTGTAGACAGTTATAAATAAAACTAAAACTTAAAAGCTCATGGTCACATGATTGTGAAGTTTTCTCCATGTGTGTGTATGATCAAAAAAAAAAAATTGGCTTGGGAAAAAAACTAAAGCTTTATATGAGTATTCACAACTCCAGGAGGTATGAAAATGAGAAAGTAAACAAGCTTGTGGTATAACCACTCATTGAAATAACATCCACATATTGATTGCAATTCCTGGCATTTTATTAAGTTAGAAAATTGATATTAAAATTAGGTAATGAGACAAGATAGAAATAACAATGACACCAGTATTTAAGGAAATTCTACAAACAGCTCTCAAAAGAATGAAGATTCTGATTCTTCATTTATGATGTCCTTAGTCTAAGTCCACCTTCATAATATAAATACCCTTTGCATTTAAAATTTTTACTCTGTTATTTTAATGATAATGCACTGACTTCTGGGTTACATAAAGTGCATAGATAGTATTGATGTGCATGCAGAGGAAACAGAATAACCATACAACCCAGAATTACTGGAAAAATGTCATAGTAAAACGACTTTTACCCTCCAAAATGTTCAGTGTTTGTAGAAGCTCTGCTTTATTAGTTTAAAGACCATTTAAATTGATCAATCTGTTAGTGAATATAAAATGCTCAGTGACATGTGAATGAAAAATCTCCTACCACTCTCACAGGCTTTAAATATTTTAAATAAGGAATAAAATCTATAACTGTCGAAGATGAAGTTCTAACCTGCTAACAGCACGAAACTCATGCAGTAATACCTCTCCAGATACCAAGTATTTTCTTACGCCTTTGTAGACACTATATATGTTTTTCTGAACTCGGAACACCAGTTACATAATTACAGTATCCAAGTGCTTGCACTAAAGTGTATTTTGGTGGCAGGTTCTTCCTGATGCATCTCATCAACAAACCAGATACAGAGTACACAGGTCAAGAGACATATGTGTGGAACATGTATCAACAGAGGTGCTGGGACTTCTTCCCTGTTGGTGACTGCTTCAGGAAGCAATATGATGAATTAGGAGGTGGTGGTGGCTAAAGCAAAAAAAAATTACCTTTACTTCTCTGGAGTTTAAATAGCATTCAGTTACTATTCTACTTATGAAGGTATCCAACAATCTAGTGAAGAGAATAGATTATCACTGATTGTCCATACATTTACTTTTGTAATATATCAGAGTTTCTTTTGTTAAGTACCTTAGAACCCATGATTACAGCTTTCCTTGGTAGTAACAGCATGAACATACACTGCATCCTTGCTCCAGGATGTGAGGATTAATAATAAGAACTATAAGGAAAAGGAGAATAAGGATGCAGTCAGTTACAGACATTGAAGGAATTAAGAGTTAAAAAATAAAACCTAAAAATGTTCTGCTCCAACATAATAAAATACTTGAATTTCATAATGTTTTAATGCTCTAAGAGCATTTACATATTTCTGCCCGAAACTTTTATCCGATTTGAAGATTAAAACAATGTTAACATAAACATGCTGTTGTGTGACACAGATTCTGTCTGTTCTCTTCAAAGTATGTGCATGAAGACATATCAAAAGAACTGGGCAATTAAAACCAGTTAATGAAGTGGTTAATAGCTTCTGCAGTTATCTCTTTCCTCATTAAAATGCAACTGAAATATAAATAACAGTTTTAAATTTGTATTTTTAATCGATTTTAATCGTTATGTAAAGGGCAAAGCACAGAGCTTGGCATTATGTGGGAAGTAATGTTCAAGTCAGGCATATACTGAAGCTGGATTTTTGAGTAAGAATACGAGTATATCATGAAAATGAAACTTGATCTGTGAGAAGTCTTACAATGCAAATTATGTAGTGATGCTAAGTGTATATTTTATAACAGAGTGATGTAAGAGTGAGAAAAATTTAGTATGCACGACTGGCCGGTGTCCACAAATCCCTTTTTATTGTATGATTGCAGTTGTTAAACATGAGGCATGAAAGATTCTGTTCAGGAAGAATATTACATAAATCAGGTTTCCATTGAAATTGAACCTCCATGAACACATTGTTCTTTGAAGTCACAGATTTAAAGCATTTTATTTAAATATTATTCCTTCCAGAGTTTTAAATACAAGTGGACATTTCACTATTCATACTGGAAACTTCCTCTTATTTTCAAATCTGACATAGACTTAGTATAATCCTTTAGCTCCCAGTTATATGCCCTTACGTATCTTTGCTAACAGACATGCACAGATAATATGAAGAAATTCTCAATTCTTCGGATCTCCTGAATTATAGGATATTGTGTTCCCGAAAAGCAATCTTTAGTCACTCTTCAGAATAATTTATAAAATTTTACAGCACTTTCATGAGCTTTTGCAATTAAAATATCACTATTTCCTTAACTTATACAGATTGGGACAATATGAAGATAGACTTTATGGTTCTTCACATGGCAATAAAAACTGTTCTGGATTGTTATCATATTTATGATTAGTTTTCAAGTTTGATGCTAATATGTATAAACATATTTAATGTTAACGGTTTAATATCCAAATTGCTCCATAGTTTACTTTCAGTGGTTGACAGATTCCCTCTCCCACAAAACAAGGATTATGAGAATGTTTTTTTTTTTTCATTACATGTGTAAAGATGATTTACGCTAGCAAATGAATGCAACAACTCAAGTTATAATCTTAGATATGTTGATTATTAAGTTACTGTAGTTGATTTGAATATTTAATTTAAATTGGAATAGAGTTCCTACATAAGTCAAAAGACAAATTTCACATTGTTATTTAGAATCGCAATTTGGCATCTTGCTTCTTTTGTATCCCGTGTATGTTTAAACTTATAGTTTAATTAAATATTATATTAAAATATGAATCATATATTCTCTTGGCTCTTGATTTAACTTGTATACCTTGGCAGACGTCTTGGCAATACCACTTCTGAATATTCATCCTTACATAGTTATACTACAATACCTATGCAGAAATATCTACACTGATATTTGAGAATGTAGAGTAGACAATGAAAAGTTCAATCCAGTGTGACATACGAGTTTACAACACTTCAGTCCTCATTCGCCTTACACGTTTCGATTCAAAAGAATCATCCTCAGAGGCGCACCACTACGATAAGGAAACACTGTCACATAAGATATTTTAACAATATGCACTTTAGGTATGACTAATGCTCTATATAAATTTTGTTATCACAGTTGGTTTTGATGTTTATCTTAGGCACTCACAATCGCGCTTCTTGAAGTGTAGATTTACTTATAATGAGTTTCTTTTAGTGTATTTCCTGGTTATTCTGACGGGTTTTTCACTACATGCACTATCTTTATTTCAGAATGTTCATTGGGAATATCTCATCAGTTGTAATTCTGTATGAAATTATGCTTTAAATAATTGGTTGTGCTGTTTCTTAACAGATTTTTGAATTACTCTTTTTACTGTACAGTGTGAGAGACATTCTCATAAAAGCCATGGCTCTTTCATGGGACTGTGAATTTGAGAATGCTGGAAATCGCTGATATAGTGATTAGCATTCCAGTTTCTTATTTTGACATTTCTTGCATGATGGAACCAGATGTCCTGACCATGGTCTGCTGCTGTCTCCTTGAATTCCTCCACAATATTATCAGTCTAGAACCTTAATGTTGTACCCTTTGGGTAATCTTAATTCTCTAAGTACAGTCCCTCGTCACTCCTGAGACATTCAAAAGTCTCTTCTGTAATGATATCTCACAGATAGCAAACAGATGCCCTACATTTCACAGCCCGCGCAAAGCTGTCTGGTTAGTTCCTTCAGGCGCAATTTAAATAAACTGCAGGAAAAACTTGAACCTCCATTGTGCCCTCTATTCAGGTAAGAGGTATACATGAATTTCAAATATACACACATTATTTTGCACAAACAGGAACAGACATGGGCCCATAGGATGGAGACTGAGATCTCTAAAACATTGGCTTTTTAATTCAACATTGACATAGCTGATTGCCTGAGATTTTAATTTATTTGCCATGAAAGCTTCAAATTCTATAAAACAGAAATTATTAAATGTACAGTACAGTAACTAAAACAAGTATTAGTAAGAAGGCCCTAATAACAATTGTCAAAAATACCCCACATGACGGCGTAACTACTGTTGAACATGATACACTTTTTAATCAATAATGCACATTGGACAGGGGTATACAGTTAGTTGTGACAACAAGAGTCCAGTCATAATAATATAAGCATACAAAATGCATTTAATTAGAAACTTTACTGAAAAGTAAATGAACACAAAGACTTGCTTATTAATAAAGGTGCACCTCACAAAAACAAGACCGTAACTGTCAAACAGTAATAAATATCTGGTCGTGAGCCCCATTACCCAACACGTGACAATATTAAAACATTTCCGCTTATGGTATGNTAGTTGGGTCCCTAAGAAAGAGCTAATCTCAATCACTGGACCTGGAGATTAGCTCCTCTATTACCTAGAATTCCGGATGATGGAAAAAGTCCAAAACCTCATTAATTCTGTATGTCATATACCATCATCAGAACGCTTTAGAATCTTATTGATAATAGATCTATAGCTGTTGTTCTCTAACCAGCGGGAGCCACTTCTTCCTAAGCATTCCCTCCCAACTCTTGGTATGTCGAGTTTGCAGGTTGCTGCTGCGCCAGCTTATCCACCACTTCTTCCCCATGTTGTTGCTATTGTGAAAGGGAATAGTTGGCGGGGTATGTGTTACAGTGAGGGATGGGCAACAGTAAGCTTATTGTAAAGGCTCACTAGTCAGGTTGAAGAGGGGATGAACCAGAAACTGCAGGTGATAGGTGCACTAGTTCAGGACGAGTGATGAGAATTTGTCTCGGTGTATCCAGGCCTCACTCTAGCGGGGAGACAAGAGTGACTGATGCTATTCACTACACGACACTGGCCAATTGTTGATGGTCCAACTTTTGAAGGTATTAATGTGAAGAACAAGGTAAGTGTATTTCTTCCTTTTTCTCGTCCTCTGTTTATTTGAATTGCCTATTCAAAGCAGTCATCTGACAAATCAACATGCCCTAAAAGACATGAAAATATATCAAGCTTGGCACTGCATGGAACTAAGTGGTTAGCTACATTCTTTGGACACTTTATTTCTGAGGAAAGAAACCACTGTATTCACTGGGTAAGAAACTGAATAGATCCCAGAGCTAGTCTGCTTGTGATGGCAAAAGAAAGCATTTGTATGAAAGTAAAACTTAGAGTAGAAAGTGGCAGTAATTCAAATTGCATTTTATATTTCTTCGTTATGCTGCTTCCACATTTTTCAGTAGTGGAAAATTCAGTTCATTTTCATATTGAAAGAATATATTTGTGAATTGCTTTTTGCAAGCATGCAATTTATTACAGAAGTAAAAACATCTAAGAACTGAAAGTAAAATTTTATTATGCCTAGTAGGGAGGTGCAACACACACACTCCTTAAAAATATGATTTGCAAATACATTGCAGTAATATCTACCTCAGAACATACATGTGATACTACAAACTTATTTCATATTTTTAATATTTGATAGTATTCTGTAAAAGGGGAAGTATGTCTCAGGCATTTACTTTAATTCCTCCATAAATACCTTTGAAAGAAAAATATTATATCTCAGTTTGATCACTGAACAATTTCAGGTTCCCTGCTTTAACAAAATGAAATGGGACTCATGATATGCTTAAAGAATATTAAAACATGAATTTCTGAACAACAATACTGCCTGCTCTAATATAGTTAATGAGTTCTACTTATTATGCATGTTCTTTATGACATACGAAAAGGGAAGTCTCAAATCTGAGACAGTAAAATATGGCCGCAAGTACCAAGGGACTCGGACACGATAAAGACTGTGCTGGCAAGGACCAGCAGTAAATGCAAAAGACAGACCCGTCCTCATGTCAGAGTGGGCGCCCCACAAAACAAGACCGTAACTGTCAAACAGTAATAAATATCTGGTCATGAGCCCCAGATGGTGCTTGACACCAAGACTTCCTGACTGAATGACCGTCAGTCACAAAGTAACTTTAATTTTGACTTTGACTAAGTCAAACCCATGTGGAGGCGGGGTCAAATACCTCCACTGTGACCCTGCGAGTCGTAGGAGGAGGCGAAAAAGAAGTCTCAAATCTGAGACAGTAAAATATGGTCACGAGTCCCAAGGGATTCGGACCTGAGGAAGACTGCGCTGGCAAAGGCCAGTAGCGTGAACAAAACACCCGCCCTCTCGTCAGAGAAGGCACCTCACAAAAACAAGACCGTAACTGTCAAACAGTAATAAAGGCTCAACAGCAAGACACTCTACACGTGAATATATTAAAACATTTCCACTTATGGTATGCATGGGGCATTCCGTTCATAGCATTGTTTAAACCGCATTTCAATAAGCTTAGTCGCGTAGTCGATATAGCGACTGGCTACGGGCTGGACGACCAAGGGGTCGGAGTTCTAGTCCCGGTAGAGTCAAGAATTTCCTCTTCTCCACGTCGTCCAGACCGGCTCTGGGGTCCACTCAACCTCCTATCCAATGGGTACCGGTGGCTCTCTTCCCGGGGTTAAAGCGGCCGAGGCGTGCAGCTAACCACTCACCTTCATCCAGTGCCGAGGTCAAGAAAATGTGGATCTATACATCCACTCCCCCATACGCCTTCATTACGTAGTGCTTAATTAGTTAAGCACAGGGACAACTTTACCTTTACCTCCTAGATATAGTATAAGTACGTGCGCGTGCGCGTACACATATGTGAACTCGATTTCGCGTAGCTTGTACAGAACGAAGTCTCTGTATGGTCTGTACTGCCAGTAGTCTGCCGAGGATTCGAAGTAGATACCTACCGAACGCATGGCATGAACTGAACAGTATATGCTACGAGTACATGGCGTCGAATGTGAAATATTAAGAAGACCCAGGAAGAAGAGGGAGTAAAGAAACAAGAAAGAATTATCATAAGCTATTTCAAGTTTATTCATTTTTAAACACGTTGGTAAATAAACGTGACATGAATTGTTTCATGGGACCTTTGCTTAAACTTGTTTCTCACGTTCCAACTCCCTAGGACAGTTCTGACTTCATTGGATTTGTTGGTCTCATAGCAGTGCTGTATGTTATTCGATCTGAAACAGACATATAGACTAGAGATAACCTCACAGCAGGCTTGGAGCAGTGCTGGCTAAGGCGGTTGGGCGGAAGGGGCGGGGGGTTGTCGACGTTACCTCGGCTCGTCTTTCACTTTATCTGTTTAGTTCGCAGTCATTTCATTTGTTTCTATGCAATAGTCCAGTGGCGGATGGTTTATTAAACCACCCTCAACATCACCTATTTTTAGCTTACTTTCCTTAGGATGAAAAAATTAAAGTAGGTATGTGCGATCTTAGGGGCCGGGCCTAGCTCAAGCGGTTAGCCGCTGGCTTCCCATCGCGGCGGCCCGGGTCTGGTCAAGTGGGATTTGTGGTGGACAAAGAGGCGCTGGGGCAGGTTTTCTCCGAGTACTTCGGTTTCTCCTGCCAAACTTCATTCCACCAATTGCTCCACAATCACCCTCACCTATCATTTGGGGCTGGTACAATAGGCCATAAGTGGCCACAGTACAAGGAACTTAGTCCCACNTTCGGCATAGGGCGCGAGGGGCGTGTTCTAATTATCACTTATTATCGGGAGGTGGCAGCTGGACCCCAGATCGGGCGCAGACTTTTATGTGCCCATTAGATTAGCGGCCCATTTGACACTATAACAAGTACCTGAAGCGAAGTACAGACAGAGTTTAAATATTTCTGGTAGCAGGGTCCAACGTGTTAATAAGGCTGGGGCCACACGAGCGCACAAAATGCGTCCGTTGTAACGAATGTCGTGACGTCCGTT